TTGGGTTGATTCTATTTGGGGTCCTCTGTATTTCTTGGGACTGAATCTTTGAGTGTCTCTCTAGGTTTGGAAAGTTTTCTTACAGGATTTCATGGAAGAGATTATCAATGCCCTTATGAGACTCTTCGCCTTCTGGAATGCCTATTATCTGGATGTTTGGACATTTGATGGTATCTAGTACTTCTCATATATTATTGTCAAATTTTTGGGCAATTTTCTCAGTCTTTGTGGTGGATTTTTCTAGTCCAGCAATATTCTCTTCTAAATCTGAGATTCTATTTTCTGTATGATCTACTCTGCTTTTAATACTTTCAAGGGAGATTTTGATTTCCTGTATTATAACCTTCATCTCTAACAGTTCCATCTGATTCTTTTGTAAAGTGTGAAATTCCTCTTTTAGATCTTGCATGAATTTCCTCACCTCCTGGAACTCAACTCCTTTCTCCTTCCTCTTCAGCAGTTCATTGTCTCTCTTCTCTTTCATTTCTGTTAGCTTTGCCATTATGAATGTTCTGAATTCTTTATCAGACATTTCCATGATTTCTGTTGAATTGTGTGTGGATGAAGAGGAGTTATCTTTTTCCCTTGGAGGAGAGGTATTTTCCTGCTGTACCATATTTCTTGTGGTCCTACAGTGATTTCTAGTCATCTGGTGGATGGTCGGTTTCTTCCCAAACTTGAAAGTCCAATCTGAGTGAAGAGGAGCGTGCGGAAAAGGAAACACAGAGAGAGAAACAACAGCAACAACAGCAAAAAACAGACAAGAAGCAGAAAAAGAGAAGAAAAAACTAAGAAAAACAAAAAAATTAATATTCAAAAAATTTCAGTAAAACCCCAAATTAGAAAACCATGCAGAGCGCAAGTGTGTCGCTCGAAATGGCTAGATCACAGGAGCCATGGAGAATGGTGTCTCTTCTGGAAGCCTGTTCCCTTCCCTTCTGCCTCTCCACACGAGTTTTGTATGCTGGAGGCCGAATTATCAGTGGGAGGTCTTCACTTCTCGGTTTGCCCCAAAATGGCTAGATCGCAGGAGCCATGGGAAGAGGTGTCCTATTCTCTGAGTTATTAAATAGAAAAGATAAATAGCTTCATAGACTGAAACAAATGATCAACCAATTACACTTGACTAAAAGGCAGAATTTCCTGCATTTTCCTGAGAACTCTTTGAGGATCTCATTGAGATGAGGGCCCCAGAATATGCTGTAACAATAATCTGTTGTTTCCTCCAATAGCAGTCAATACCTGGATATTGGGACCAAAAAGACCTATTTTATATTCCACCTAGCTCAGAGACTGGCAGGCTGAGACCACTGGAGGAAGTTAAAGCCCAGACAAGAGAGTGGGAGAATTGTTCCTTGTTTCTAACCAGGGAAGGAAATGGAGGCAAGAAATGATGGGAGTGGGGCTTGAGGAGCTAGAACACTCAATGAGGTAGGGGAACTGTGGTTACAGATTGCCTTTATATTGAAGTTTCCATCTTCAGAATGAAACAATTCTTGGTGAGAAGGAAGTTGAGAATTGGTTGATCAAGCATAATGGAAGTAAGTTTTAAAAGTTAAAGATGTTGGACCCAGCAGGTGGTGTAGGGGTTAAGGTGCTGAACTTTTCAGCTTGGCTTAAAATCATGCTGGGCATGTGTGCATTCGTGTCCATAACCCCAGGAGGAAAAATGGAGAAGAAGAGACTGCAGTAAAATCACCTTGAGGGATGATTTCTCGCTTTTCCTCCCACTATCTCTGTCTTTCACCTCCATTACAGGCACCCAAAAGCAAAAATCTTTTTAAAAAAATATTAAAGTTAAGAAGGTCAAGTTGAAGCTTGGTAGATTGCTTGCCACAGTGTTTATGTTTGTCTCTAATTATGACACAAGTTCTAGAATTCAGGGCGTTTGTGAATTAGATGGCAAAATCTTTAATAAACAAAGGCTGATGGGATGAAGAGAGTATCAAAAATAGGAAGTGTGTGTGTGAGTGTGTGTGTGTGTGTGTATTGAGAAGAGATTGAAAAAGCTGGGTACAAACATTTCAACTTAGGGACTGGTTTGTTAGAAATTTAGTAATACTAGGACAGTAGATGGTGTAATGGTTACGTCGCTGGACTTCCACATAGTCGACCGCAGTTCAAATTCCAGACCCGGCAGCTTAAAATTCATGCAGGGTGCGCATGTATGTGCATGCCAAAAATCCCAAGAGGAGAATGGAGGAGAAGGGATTGCAACATGGCCAACCCTCCTGGGGGGTGATTTCTCACCTTCTGTCTCTCTGGTAAGTGTGCATGTCCTATAGCAAAAATTCTCTCTCTAAAAATTGGGGTACTCATGATGCTCATAAAGTGATAGTGCATTTAAATTGGAAGAAAAATACTAAGCTAGGAGCTTGTAAGAATGTCGTTTACTCTTATCTAATAATCAGGGAAGAGCAGATATCCTGGATATTATTCAACGAAGTTGTAGAGTGCCTGCCAGATATGAGGCAATGCCTTAGAAGCGTTGGGATGTCTGAAAATACATAAGGAAAATCATGTGATGGGAGAGAAAAGAAATACACAAGCAGTTTATTACACAGAAACGTGGGATTTATGAGTGTCTCATATAATACAAAATCACCACCAGGGGGCGAATTCTTTTCCACTTGTAAAACTAGCTGCCAGAAGGAAGAAAAACTGCTTCAACCAGAGCTGGTCAGGAGAAAAACCTCTAATTTGCTTTCCAGAGTCACAGACAGTAGTAAAATTCTCCCCTTTTGCTGGGATAGGTTTGAATAGATTTCTAATATTACTTGCATTTTCTCCATGGAAATAGTGCTGTAAGTAATAGGTTTGCAGGTTGATTCCA